ACAGAACAAAGCATAAACAATAACACAGAACAAAAGCATGAACAATAACATGGAACAAAGCATGAACAATAACATGGAACAAAAGCATGAACAATAACATGGAACAAAAGCATGAACAATAACATGGAACAAAAGCATGAACAATAACATGGAACAAAAGCATGAACAATAACAAGAACAAAGCATGAACAATAACATGGAACAAAAGGATGAACAATAACATGGAACAAAAGCATGAACAATAACATGGAACAAAAGCATGAACAATAACATGGAACAAAAGCATGAACAATAACATGGAACAAAAGCATGAACATAACATGGAACAAAAGCATGAACAATAACATGGAACAAAAGCATGAACAATAACATGGAACAAAAGCATGAACAATAACATGGAACAAAAGCATGAACAATAACATGGAACAAAAGCATGAACAATAACATGGATAAAAAAGATGAACAATAACATGGAACAAAAAAAATCCTTTCAAGGCAAATTAAACTGCCTCATTTTGTTTACAAAATTGTTTCTTTCTTTGTTTGACTCTGAAGCTGCGTTGTGTAGCACTGTGTTTGTTTGTTTGTTTGTCCTGGGCAAGATGATGTCTTTGTTTGTCCTGGGCAAGATGATGTCTTTGTTTGTCCTGGGCAAGATGATGTCTTTGTTTGTCCTGGGTAAGATGATGTCTTTGTTTGTCCTGGGCAAGATGATGTCTTTGTTTGTCCTGGGCAAGATGATGTCTTTGTTTGTACTGGGCAAGATGATGTCTTTGTTTGTCCTGGGCAAGATGATGTTTTTGTTTGTCCTGGGCAAGATGATGTCTTTGTTTGTCCTGGGTAAGATGATGTCTTTGTTTGTCCTGGGCAAGATGATGTCTTTGTTTGTCCTGGGCAAGATGATGTCTTTGTTTGTTCTGGGCAAGATGATGTCTTTGTTTGTCCTGGGCAAGATGATGTCTTTGTTTGTCCTGGGTAAGATGATGTCTTTGTTTGTCCTGGGTAAGATGATGTCTTTGTTTGTCCTGGGTAAGATGATGTCTTTGTTTGTCCTGGGTAAGATGATGTCTTTGTTTGTCCTGGGCAAGATGATGTCTTTGTTTGTCCTGGGCAAGATGATGTCTTTGTTTGTACTGGGCAAGATGATGTCTTTGTTTGTACTGGGCAAGATGATGTCTTTGTTTGTCCTGGGCAAGATGATGTCTTTGTTTGTCCTGGGCAAGATGATGTCTTTGTTTGTCCTGGGCAAGATGATGTCTTTGTTTGTCCTGGGCAAGATGATGTCTTTGTCCTGGGAAAGATGTCTCCCAATAAACATTCAATTTATAGAGTGTTCAGTAACCAGTATTGTCTCCAACACCTTGGATCAGACGCAGGTGGTGGTGCTGCCATCCAGAGAGGGAACGCCCCATATATTTCTGTACACATGACTTTGCTCTAATGAGATGAATGAAGGTGTTTATTTTGAGTAAAACACACACACACACACACACACACACACACACACACACACACACACACACACACACACACATACACACAAGAGATTGGTGCAAAAGCTGGAGGACCAAGCAGGGATAACAGGGAAGGCACTATAATGGATCAGGGAATACTTGTCAGGAAGACAGCAGCGAGTCATGGTACGTGGCGAGGTGTCAGAGTGGGCACCTGTGACCAGCGGGGTCCCGCAGGGGTCAGTCCTAGGACCAGTGCTGTTTCTGGTATTTGTGAACGACATGGCGGAAGGAATAGACTCTGAGGTGTCCCTGTTTGCAGATGACGTGAAGTTGATGAGAAGAAATTCACTCGATCGAAGACCAGCAGAATTTACAAATGGATCTGGACAGGCTGCAGACCTGGTCCAGCAGTTGGCTCCTGGAGTTCAATCCCACCCATTTGCAAAGTCATGAAGATTGGGGAAGGGCAAAGAAGACCGCAGACGAGTACAGTCTAGGGGGCCAGAGACTACAAACCTCACTCAAGGAAAAAGATCTTGGGGTGAGTATAACACCAGGCACATCTCCTGAAGCGCACATCAACCAAATAACTGCTGCAGCATATGGGCGCCTAGCAAACCTCAGAACAGCATTCCGACATCTTAATAAGGAATCATTCAGGACCCTGTACACCGTGTACGTTAGGCCCATATTGGAGTAGCGGCACCAGTTTGGAACCCGCACCTAGCCAAGCACGTGAAGAAACTAGAGAAAGTGCAAAGGTTTGCAACAAGACTAGTCCCAGAGCTAAGAGGTATGTCCTACGAGGAGAGGGTTTAAAGGGGAAAACAACCTGACGACACTGGAGGACAGGAGAGATAGGGGGGACATGATAACGACATACAAAATACTGAGAGGAATTGACAAGGTGGACAAAGACAGGATGTTCCAGAGATTGGACACAGTAACAAGGGGACACAGTTGGAAGCTGAAGACACAGATGAATCACAGGGATGTTAGGAAGTATTTCTTCTCAGCCACAGAGTAGTCAGTAAGTGGAATGGTTTGGGAAGTGATGTAGTGGAGGCAGGATCCATACATAGCTTTAAGCAGAGGTATGATAAAGCTCACGGCTCAGGGAGTGACCTAGTAGCGATCAGTGAAGAGGCGGGGCCAGGAGTGGGACTCGCCCCCCGCACCTCAACTGGTGGTACATACCCACATATACACGCACACCACACCACACACACATACACCACCACACACACACACACACACACACACACACACACACACACACACACACACACACACACAATCTTGTAAGGAGTCAAAATTAAGTCGGACTTCCGAAAATCGTCTGGTAGGGAGTCTGATCCTTGGGCTCGACGCCCCCCTCCTGAAGAGGGGCAATGAGAAATTAAAGCTATAATGACCCCCGGCCCCCAACTGCTGGGGTAGTTACTACAAGCACCAACAACCTGCTGGATCAATTTCCTCCAGGCTCCTCATTGCTCCTAAGTTATCTGACTTGAAGTCATCTCAAGTTGGACAGTCATCAAGGCTAAGAGCACTGCTCTCAGAGGGACAATTGGGCAATCATCGCTGCTCAAGATACAGCAGTCAGGGGCAATAATCCAAACTTAGGATGAGGGCAATTACCGGGGTGCAACAAGCTCTCTCTCTCTCTCTCTCTCTCTCTCTCTCTCTCCCTCTCCCTCTTTTTCTCTTCTCTCTCTCTCTCGCTAACAAGGCTCTAAATTCTCACAGAGGTGAGAGCCAGGGAGATGACAGTGAGCCAATGACTCTTTCAAGAGCTCTTAACTCTAACAGCTCTATGATACGATTCTTTCAAGAGCTGGTAACTCTCTTAGCTCTAACAATACAGTAATACGACTGTTCCAAGAGCTCTCAACTCTAATAATCCACTAAAGAGTCTAAGAGCACTTTCATCACTTCTACTCTTACTTAAAGAGCTGTTTACCACAACCAGACTAAGGGACTGATTACCTCAGACTCTGCTGAAGGACTGATTACCTCAGACTCTGCTGAAGGACTGATTACTTCAGACTCTGCTGAAGGACTGATTACCTCAGACTCTGCTGAAGGACTGATTACCTCAGACTCTGCTGAAGGAGTGATTACCTTAAACTCTGCTGAGGGGCTGATTACCTTAAACTCTGCTGAGGAACTGATTACCTCAGACTCTGCTGAAGGACTGATTACCTCAGACTCTGCTGAAGGAGTGATTACCTTAAACTCTGCTGAGGGACTGATTACCTCAAACTGTGCTTCGTCTTACACCATTCTTCTTTGTATTGGACTAAAGAAGTCACTATGTGGCGAAACATTTCCACGTTTCATTTTCTAAAAGTAAACTTAAGAACCTAACCTAACTAATAGCCTAATTTTTTTAGCTAAATTCTGCTTCGTTATAGATAGGTCACTTATATATATATATATATATATTATATTTTTATATATAATATATATATTATATATATATTATATATATATATATATATATATTATATATATATATATACCGGCCATATTCCACCGAGGCAGGGTGACCTAAATAGAAAAACCAATGTTTCTCTTCTTAGATTTAATAATGTATACAGGAGAAGGGGTTACTAGCCTCTTGCTCCCGGCATTTTAGTCGCCTCTTACGACACACATATTACCACTGCGAAAAAAAAAAACAGTAGAATTTCAAGCGTTTTCGTGACTTCTCACATTATCAAGGAGCAATAAAAATCAAAGGTTAACAGGAAGGCATATAAAAACGAGACTACACCTCGGTGCCACCCCACAACACCTGACTTTCTATGATGATATAAGTAGGTAGTCAGCGAGCCTTGAAACACAGCTTATATTATACTCAACAATTTAGCTTGTCTAATGTATCTTAAATTCTTCCTAAATTTTATTAATTATAAATGAATCCAGTTTATATAACCCAAAAGCAATATTCATATTATTTTCAAAAGTATTTTTTTTTATGAAACATTTCTGTTATATTCCTGTCGACCATGGACTACATACAACTTTCTCAGCTTTTTTAAATTAAATTAGATGGTTAAAATCTCTCACATAATAAACAGAACATTAGAATCTTGTCAACTTCTAATGTTATATTTATGTTGTTTTAATCTTAGTTCGAGACTTTTACCAGTTTGTCCGTAATAAACTTTATCACGTGTATAACAAGGAATCTTATAGACACACCCGTAAGTATTTTTGGGTTAATTTATTTTTATCAAAAGTGTCTTTACTGTATCAAAATTTAAATTTTGAGACAGTAAAAAAATAAAAAAGTATGGCATAATAAAAGTATGGCATAATAAAAGTATGGCATAATAAAAGTATGGCATAATAAAAGTATGGCATAATAAAAGTAGGCTATAAAGTGGGCATAATAAAAGTAGGGCATAATAAAAGTAGGGCATAATAAAAGTAGGGCATAATAAAAGTAGGGCATAATAAAAGTAGGGCATAATAAAAGTAGGGCATAATAAAAGTAGGGCATAATAACAGAAGAGACTGGACATGTGTACTCACTGGACTTGACTGAACGGATGCAGACTTTGGCACAGCCTGTGGAACAGCACTTGGCAGTGCCAGCACAATCCTGGTCACTCTGGCACTGATCCCTCACGTCCTCTGGGCACAGTGCCTCCTCTAGTACCCTGGTGGGGCATCTTCCACTCTTATCTGCACAGTGAAAAGAAAAGAAAGTTTAGAATAAGAATAATGATAAAAATAACAACAACAACAACAATAATAATAATATAATAATAATAATAATAATAATAATAATAATAATAATATTTATTATTATTATTATTATCATTATTATTATTATTATCATTATTATTATTATTATTATTGTCATTATTTTCATTATTATTATACACTGAGAGATATACACCTCTCTGTGTACTCGCCGATTTTACACATGCGGGAGTCGAGTCCTGGCTCTTGGCCCCGTGTATGTGTCAATGTTTGAATGAGGTCATGCACATACAGTATGATCATTAAGTGGAATGACCTGGATGAAGAACAACTGAAAGCTTACACCATACACAGCTTTGAGACGAGGTACGGCAAGTGCCCACGAGAGTAAGAGTGACCCTGGCCACTGTCAGGTAGCTGCCAGGAGCTGATACTCGACCCTCAGTAACTACAAACAGGTGAGCACAAACATCTCTACCAACTCCATCGAGTATCATGTACGTAGTGATCATGTCTCCCCACTACCACTTCCTCCTCTAATAACACCTCCGAGTATCGTGTACGTCATGATTATGTCTCTCAACCACCACCACCTCTACTAACGCCTGTTTATTCGACTGGCTTCCTACAAACCTTTGATGTTCGATCTGAAAACAAAAAAAATAAATGCTGGCTGGAAAGTTTGAAGCCCAGGCGAGGCAGGAAATTAGAGCTCTTGACGGCCAGTGCTGGAAAGCTTGGGAAAAAATCTCAGGTTAGTGCAATGACCTTACTGACACAGGCAAGTTGAACATGGAAAAATGTCTTGAATGTTGAATGATTGACAGGAACGAGAGAGAGAGAGAGAGAGAGAGAGAGAGAGAGAGAGAGAGAGACTGTACTGTCTTCAGTAAACTTCCAAGTCTCTGACAAGTGTTGTTGTTGTTATTGTTTGTTTTGTTGATGTTATTGTTGGTTTTGTTGTTGTTGTTGTTATTATCATTATTATTATTATTATTATTATTTTTTATTATTATTATTATTATTATTATTATTATTATTATTATTATTATTATTATTAACCTGGGTGAGAGGTGAAGGCAGCAGAGGCTGGTAATGTTAATTACGTCAGTAATTACCAACATGGCCACCATAACAACAGCAAATATTTGTTGATAATATTGTTAATCTCTTTACTGTTATTAGCCACAACAACAGCACTCAGAGTCCCGTTACAGCTTGTATTACCATTGTAACGGTACTGTTGTATCGTCACTAACATTAAGAACAAACTCTCTGCTGTGATTGGCTCACAACACGACATTTCTCGACCAATCACTGCCAAGGGATTGTTTACAGTTCACCCTGAGCTGTGACTGGCTCACGACACCACATCTCTCGACCAGTCACCGCCCGGATTCATTAATATATCACCCTGAGCTGTGATTGGCCCACGACACGATATCTATAGACCAATCACCACCCAGAGATTCATTAACATTTCACCATGAGCTGTGATTGGCCGACGACACCACAACTCTCGACCAATCACCGCCCAATCCACGTTTATTCGATAAAAATAAACAGTCCTCCTAGGGTGTTTTTCTGGCTGAATTTATTCCCTATGTGGTGTTTTTTTCGGTATTTTTTAACATGTTTGAAACAGGAATAAACCCGCAAGATATTCTGGTAGTTGGTGATGGTAAAAGAGCTCTTGATCCAAGAAAATGGAGCTGCCCTCCCTCTCCTCGAAGCTATATTTGATTTGCTTTAACGCTTTCCCATGAATAATAATAATAATAATTATTATTATTATTATTATAGTTAAATAAAACTAAATACTAATTATAACATTAATAATGATAACAACAAGAACAACAAAAAGTCATATTAATAATAATAATAATAATAATAATAATAATAATAATAATTATAATAATAATAATAATAATAATAATAATAATAATAATAACAATAATAATAATAATTAATAATAATAATAATAATAATAATAATAATAATAATAATAATAATAATTTTAATATTAAAAATAAGAATAAAATTTGCTTTTTCTTCTTTAAAACACAATTGTGTATGTGTCATCATGTTGGAGCCTTTTTATACTTTTAATGTAAATTGAAAGTGAATAATATTTTTTGAGGGAATTACTGAATGATACTGTTGTTAGTGGTTGATACATGTTATGTTTATGTGATACATGTTGTTTGTTGGTTGATACATGTTAGTTGTGTGATACATGTTGTTTGTTGTGTGATACATGTTGTTATGTTGGTTGTACATGTTATTTTGGTGTTACTGTGTTATGTTGTGTGATACATTTTGTTATGTGGTTGATAATTTTGTTATGTTGTGTGATACATGTTATGTTGTGTGATCATTTGTTTTTTGGTTGTACATGTTGTTATGTTTGTGATCATTTTGTTTGTTGTGTGATACATGTTGTTATTGGTTGTACATGTTGTTATTTTGTGTGATAATGTTTTTATTTTGTGTGATAAGTTTTTATGTTGTGTGTACAGTTGTTATGTTGTGTGAAGACAGCTGTCTGTCTGACAGACAGCCCATCTGTTCCCAACTTTTTTCATTTTTCGCGCCTGGGGTGTTTGCCCCTATCGGCGTTCCCACTTCAGCCTGCCTGCCCTTCCCCTCGCTCTCATCAACAGGGGCCTAGCAGGAAGACAAAAAGGCCTCTCCTGTCCCTCTTGTGGGAGGGCCCCTGGCCGGGCCTGGGCACAAACCCCCAAGCTGTGTACCCCCAGATTAACAATAAAACAAAGAAGCCCCCGAAGAGATATATCTTTAACTACCCGCTTTCAGCCTACCCCAAAAAAAACCATTTAAAAATTGGTAGCAGCGGGGGTCGCAGCAGTTGTTTTCCGGAGAGAGGAAGGGAAAGGGATGAAGTCATCTTCATTATCACCCTACCAAAAAAGATCCGTCTCTCAACGAGTTATCCTGATGTCGTGTCTGCACGTTTCAGCATCCAGACACAGGTACAAGCAGGATCCAGCCGAAATTTGCCGAATTTCTTCGAGAATTGTGACCCCACGCTACAGCATCCCACGCTGTTTCTCAAGTCACGTGTTCAGCATCACTTGTATGTTGCTGTTTCTGTTCAGCTCAGCACAGCTGTTTCAGCAAGCCAGAGGTGAGTTTCATGGTGATTTCTGCGTCCAGTGTGAGATTCTCCACGTGTTTGTGGGTGGGGAATGAGGAGAGGAAGTGGCCGTTCCTCACCTTGCCCATGCTCGCCCTACTCACGCTCACCTGTCTACCATACACTCACCACTGCTCACTCCCTCTGCTGTGTTTTCTGCTGTTTTTCATGTGAATTCGCCGCCAGTGCTGTGTATCCGAGGGCCCAAGGCCACTCGAAGCTACGTGGATCAGCATGCCACGTAGATCACGACGCCACGTGGATCACGATGCCACATTGGGTGTGGGCGATGTCACGTGGATCTACCAGCCACGTGAGTTACCGGATGTCCCAGGCCACATGCTGTGGTCTGCTGCCCGCATCACATTGACGTCACCGATGATGCTCCCCGACTTCATGACGTCACGATGTCTGCCTGACATCACCTCGAGATGTCTGCTGATGTCACAGTGCTGCTGACGTCACCTCGCGACATCACGCCTGACATCACATGATGTCACATCGAGTGCTTCTAGTAATTATTTCAGTATTGTCGAGAAGATTGAGAGAAGATATATGTTGTGTGTTAATTAATTCCTCTCAGTGTTCTCACATTTTAGTATATGTCTTAGTGTCAGTTTTATGCACAGAAAAGCATCATTTGCTAGTTTAAGCCATGTTTTACTGCATGTACCGCGGGTGTGTTTAAAGTTTCCATGTGTCCAGTGAGGTCTGAGCCAGACCTGAGTAGCACCACCGTGCTAAGTCACCCGATGTGACCAGTGCGTATGACAGCTGATGTCAAGACAGCCCCGAGTGACCGAGCCCTCTTGTACAGAAAGCTTTTATGCTCGTCACTCGTGATGTTCTGCAGAATCGTACCTGCAACGATTCCCATCGAGATTTTTTTTCATTCACCTCCAGACCTTCAGAATGCATTTATATTTTAGAGAAAAAAGTCTGGGGCGCTTAGACTAACCTCTGCTATAACTCCAACTGCCGAATGACACTCGCCAAGCCGCAGTTAGCCACTGTCGGCAGGCGCTGTGTCAGCCTCGTGTCACAAGCTTCAATGAGCAGCCTGCACAAAGAAGATGTCACTTTGACTGCTAGCAGTCTGGTGTATGATGTTACGACTCCCTGATGTTTCGCCCAGTCGCCTCTGCCATGACTCTCCACAACTCGCTCCATGCTCGCCGGCAGTGACAGCCCAGCGACAGTACCAGTCGAGAAGTGTCCTCCTGAGTCGCTTGCCAGACGTCCTGCCCAGTTGCCGAGTTTTATCGACGCCTCACTCGAGGGACACCAGCATGTCGTGCCCCAGGTTGAGTGAAAACCTGCAGCGACTCCTACGATGACTGCGACTGCTTCACCGTTCCAGAGGAGACCGTACCCTGTTACGTCACAGCTCAGCCGCACCGATGTCTCCTGTGTTGCAGTATCTGTCCAGACGCAGGAAGGCGTGCAGTGATGCCCATCGACGCTCACTGCCTTTCACCACGATGTTTACCCCACCACACATGTTTTTTTTCTTCCCTCCCTGTAGGAATTTTTTTTCCATGTCCATATGTATATATATGTTTTTATTTTGTGTTCTGTGCCCTGTGCCTACGAGAGAGAGACCGAGTTCCTTTTACCACCAGTATTGTCGCGTCGGGACGACGCTCGGTAGGTGGCCGAGCGTATGTAGACAGCCTGTACTGTCTGCACAGACAGCCCATGCTGTCTGCCAGCTTAGTTCATATTTCGCGCCATGCTGGTGCTGCCACCTATAGGTGTAGCCACTTCAGCCTGCCTGCCCTTGCCTCGCTCTCACTCACACAGCGGCCTAGCAGGAAGACACAAGGCCTACTCCTAGCTCCCTCTCGCGGGATGGCCCTGCCTGGGCCATGGGCACAACACACAAGCCTGTGTACCCACCACGACTTAACAATAAAGTAAGAAGCCTCCTAAGAGATATATCATTCAACTACCCGCTTTCAGCCTACCAAACAAACCATTAAACATGTGTGATACATGTTGTTATGTTGTGTGATACATGTTATGTTGTGTGATACATGTTATGTTGGGTGATACATGTTGTTATGTTGTGTGATACATGTTGTTATGTTGTGTGATACATGTTATGTTGTGTGATACATGTTGTTATGTTGTGTGATACATGTTGTTATGTTGTGTGATACATGTTGTTATGTTGTGTGATACATGTTATGTTGTGTGATACATGTTGTTATGTTGTGTGATACATGTTATGTTGGGGTACATGTTTGTTGGGTGATACATGTTATGTTGGGTGATACATGTTATGTTGTGTGATACATGTTGTTATGTTGTGTGATACATGTTATGTTGGGTGATACATGTTATGTTGGGTGA